TTGATTTGTTCTCTTGTAGAATACTTCTTTAGATGCGTATATTTTTGACATTTATGGCAGCTTCTCAGATTTGAAATATATTTTTCTACTTTAGCTATTAAATAACCAATTTTAATTTCAGATGGTGGTGTTGAAGTATTGAAAGGCAATATATATATGTTAGTATTAATTATTTGTTTTTTTTAAATAGTTATCCTTTTGATATCAGTCACATTTTGTTTTTTTTAACTCAGCTTTTATTTCTTCTATGGTACAAAGTGATAAATCTCCATTAGAACCAAATCTCTAGAGGTGGATATGCTTTTATACAGATGTTATGAAATTCTTTAGTCTTTAATATTGAGCTCGCATGTCTTTTATTTGATATTTCTATCAGGATGATTCCATTTTTTAAGTTTTTTATTGATTTCGGATTAACCATTAAGGATATGACTTTCTGTATCAGGAATGGTGATAATTTGGTTAATGGGACCTATAAAGATTTTTTTTTTTTTTACAAAATAAAATAAGTTAAATTTCATGCATTTTTCATGGCCTTTAGGCTCAAGCAAAGAGCCAAGATCTTGTGAATTTACTTTTTTTGAATACTCTAAAGGAAGGCGATTTACATATAATGGCCAATAGAATCAAGTTTTTCTAGCACCGAAAAATTTTGGCTACAGCTGAACTTTATGACCCCATTGATAATAAAAAGGACTGCTATTAGCAGTTGGGAGGAAAGGGGAAAAGAGCGGCAACTTAGGCTGGGACAGTTTTCACAAGACATTACATAAAAGGACAGTCCAGTGAGAGGTCATAAATTTGTCGTGACAGATGCAAGGCAAATTCACATGACAAATTTCACACCCCAGAACCTACAAGAATTTGCCTACATCAAATCCTCTTTGAGAGCTGAGAAATTCTTTACAGAGCTGTTACAACAGAAGTTGGTGTCATTTAAAAGACTGTGTCTTGTAAGTTTTCTCTTATTTTTGAATGGAGATATTTTGTATATGAATCCAATTCATTGGTCTTATTAACATTTTTGGTGAATTGTATTTTTTCTGTTTCTGAATGTAATCTCTTTTTATTGGCTCAGATTGTTATCCTGTGCAAAGAGGCGCACAAAAGGAAATTTTTGTGCAACCCTTGTTTTGTATGCTTCCAATTTGTAATTGTAAATAACTGTGTTGTTCCTTTTAAAAATTTATGCAGTAGCCATCTTGTTTTTTAAGTTGTGCCTATTTTTGAGAGTTGCTGTTTCTACCAAGTAAGTTTTGTATCTGGCACAAGAACTTGGAGTTGGTAGGAAAGCAAAATTTTTATACCTCTGCTCTAGATTCAAGTATTATTATAAAACTAGGAAAGGGTACCTCAGGCTGTTTTTGGATCAGAATCTGACTGTGTGGAGTCTCTTAGCTTCAGCTTTTCTTTCTCTTTCTATATAATGAAATTATACTTCATTCACTGTACACCCCACCCACTATAGAGCCCTACTAAGGGAAATGCCAAGGGGGAAGCCTTCACCTTGGAAGATCAGGGCTGTACAGTCAATATACTCACACTATAATGAATCAATAATTGTTTAACTTCCTAAGTCTTAGTTCCCAAATTAACTACTTGCTCAGGCATCGTTTGGAATAATTGTCTTTTCTTAGCATGATTGACCCTACTGCCTTTGGATTCAGCTCTTCCAGAGTTTGTAAGAAGCTGAATCAGGGTTTAGCATGATCAGCTGGTTAATTGAATTGAGCCTCTCCAAATGCTTGTCTAGCCCAGGCCAAAGTGATATGTTGGGATTCAGGAGTTAATCCATCCCTCCTCCTAAAGCCCTCAATCACCAGGATCCCATCCTTAGGCATCGCAGGTTGCCAACTATGGCCAACGGGTAACCTCATTGGAGGTGGGGGTGTTACCCTTCTGCAAAGGTGCAGTTAGTGTATTCTGAAGCCCCAGCCAACAAGGCAGGGAAAGAAGGTGTGTGAAATAGATGAAAAATTTTATTTACATTATTTACATTGTTTGGACTGTTGTCCTCATCTTTATTGTCATATTCATGATGTTTCGGCTGTTGTATGTCCCAGCCTTCTTCTTTTGTTCACCTCTGCCATGGCTAGGTATTGAACACACAACTCTTTGGGTCAAGTCACTGGATTGCTTTCATCATGCATTTCCTATGAAAATAAAAGCATTGGTTGAAGTAATCTAATGACTTGACCCAAAGAGTTGTAAGTTCAATACCTGGTCATAGCAGAGGCGGACAAAAACTTGGAGAGTTGAGTTACTAAAGGGAAATAACTGAATCAGAGATATCTAGAAAAGACATGGCATGAGGAACTAGAACAATCTACTCCGATGGACGAAATAAAGGGTTCAGTTTGAAATTCTAACGAAGAAGGCTGGTGTGTACAGCAGACGAAACATCATGAATATGCCAATAAAAATGAGGACAATGTGCGAACATTGTAAACAGTGTAAATTATTTGTTGTAATTCTTTTTTTTTTTTCATTTCTTTTACAGATTATTTGAGAGCGTTTTCCGATGTGCAATTAACAGTAAAAGGGTTTGGTTTGAAATTCCAACCTGTAACACCTGAAGAAGACCAGAGCGTCGAAACAATGTGGATACAACAATAAAGATGAGGACAACAGTCTGAACAATTTAAATAGTGTAAATACCTCATTTCAGAAATATAGACAAATGAAGGATTTTTTTGGTATTTTTCTTCTGTTTAAATACCTCCAACCCAAATGAGAGGGAGGGAAGAAATAAAATGTCGGGGGGAGCAAAGAAAAGTGTATTTTTAACCATTCTCAAGAAGCCATGATTGCCTACATCCTGAAGTGATATGAGATTAAAAATAAATACAAATTTTTAGATTAAATAAATCTGATTATATATGATTTGCTGTGTGCTCACACCCGCTAAACAGCTGCCGAATGAACAAAGAAAGCATTTATTTCACACATTCTTCCACATTAGTGCATTGACAAAGAATGAGATTAATTAAATATTAAATATTATTAATATATAGATTATGCAGTGAAATTTTCAGAACAAAATTCAGTTAACTACGTGTCAGGCTAGAAACTTATTGATCCAACCGTATATACAGATAGATAGCATTTTTGTCTAGCTTTGACACCGGCTGATTTTTTTTTTTCACTTTTTAACTTTTTTTATATATATATAGTAAGAAGATTAAAAGTCACCGTTTTCGCATTTTTGGTTTTCTTGTGTATTTTTCAGCAAACACTCTACAATCGCACAAAAAAAAAAAAAAAAAAAAAAAAAAAAAAAAAAAAAAATAGAATTATGAAACTTTCTGCTTTATTTTAAAAATAAAAGAAATTGCGGATATGGTAAATAAAATTTTAAAAATGATGTTTCTTCAACAAACGTTTGAAGTTCTCAAATATGACTGGACTTTATTTTTAGTAAAAATATAAAAATTAAAAATAAAATGTAAATGCAAAAGAATAGTCATGTATTTATTTAATTTACATTTTTTTTTAATATAAATTTATATTATATTCAATTTTTTTGTCTAAATTTAAACTCCACTCCTAATGTCAGAGTGGCTTTAAATTTTAAAGCCACTCTGACATTAGTGGAGTTTAAATTTTAAAGTTTAAAGCAAAAAAGTTAAATTACCTTATTTTAGTACTTTTTAATTTTACAGTACTGTAACTATTTTAAAAAATTCTACCAACTTTACTAGTTTTAGTTAGTTCTTTGTGTGTGTTTATAACAAAGCAAAAAAAACAACTAAGTAGCTAACTTGAGTTAGTACTCTAATTGATGAGAAAAATTAAACTAGAGTGCTTTCAAAATCCAAAGTTGCTTATACTGTACACTGTAAAAAAGAAAATTTGTGTTGTACAAATGTACAATGTACATTCAATGAAATGCTATTTTTCTGGTGAATTTAAGACTTCAATCAAGGATACTATGATATCATGTATAAATATCCTCAATTTTAAATGTAACAAATAGGCCTTTGGATAAAAAAAGTGGGAGGACTAATTCCGACCAAACTAAACAAGGATGTGTAAAACCTAGCAACTTATTGCTTCGCCATCTTAAATCAGTTGTTTGAAATTGCCATTTCTAAATTGCCACTTCAAGTACTACATTTTTTTTTATTTTATTTTATAGATAAAAAAAATATACACGAAAAGAAAAATAGTTTTACCGAATTTTAAGTAACTTTCTATAAAAAGAAACAAAAACAAAAAAAAACTGTTTAAACAAATTTTTTTATGCGACCTCAGAAAAAAAAATATATAAAAAAATAAAATATTAATTCAATTTCGGGGAGAGCCTTCAACCAGGCACCACCTCTCTATGTGCACACTAAAAAAAAAAAAAAAAAAAACAAAACAAAAAGAGATCTTAAAATAGAAAGGACGGGAGATCCATAAGTCAACTCTTAAGTTAAACATTATGACCCGTTAAACCTCCATAGTGCGTTAGAGCGCGCCTAAGTTTTCATAGGAGAAAAAAGTTTAATAAAGTTCACATTTCAAACTTACAACTAGGAGCAAATGTTTTTTTTGTTTTTTTTATTAAAAATAAATAATAATAATAATTTAATAGTAAAAAAAGTAAGGAAAGTTGTAAATTTTATTGATTTTTTTTATAACTGCCCCAAAAGTTTCATTGTGCATAATTATTGTTAACTGCGTATTATTATACAAAAACACCATTTGATTTTTCTAAATACATTTAAATAAAATAAAAAAAAATAAATAAAAGGAAATGTGTAAAATAAATAAAATTTAAAAGTAAACTATTGGTTGGTCCCACCGTTGGAATGCGGCTGTTCCGTCAATTGCTCTTTCTCCCCCGTTTTCTGCATATAAATATAAAAAAATTCAGAACGAGGCTTAGATTGCATCTGGTAATAGCAGTTATCTGATAAGTGATTTTTTTTTCCTCCGCTTCATCTCCAAAACGACGATTTTCCATTCCTTTTAAAAAGAAAAAAAAAAAAAGAGAGAATTATTCAACCGACAAGATGACAGCTGAGGAATCTTTGGATACGTCTAAGGAAAAATTTCCGAAAGACACGATTGTGTCTGCTAATGATAGTGGAGCTACTGCCGAAGTCGACGACTCCAAGGCTAAGTTTATTCCTAATGGCGACAAAGATGAGCAAGAACATGTTATTGTTAAAGTTGGAACGAACGATTTCAACGGTCTCACCAAGGAAGAACTCATGAAATACGCAAACGACCCTTTCTGGGTGCGTACCCGTTTAATTCTGTTCGTTATTTTCTGGGTTGGATGGATTGCTATGCTGGTAGCAGCGATCGTCATAATTGTCCTTGCGCCAAGATGTCCTTACAAACCCGACTTGAAATGGTACAATACCGACGTCATCTACGAAATATCGCCTCGGTCTTTTAAGGATTCTGACAATGATGGAAATGGGGATCTAAAAGGTATTCAACAACAATTTCCCTACCTGGCTTCGATTGGCGTGAAAACACTGTGGATCCATTCTCTTTTCGATGTGCAGTATAAAGATTCCGGATTCGGTCTTATTAACCACACGGCCATTAACCCAACTTATGGAACAGAAGCCGACATCACTTCTATGATCAAGCAATTTAAAAAAGATAACCGGCATCTGATTTTAGATTTTATTCCTTTCTATACTCATGTGAATCACAGATGGTTTAATCAAAGTCGCAGTAGCAAGAAGAGCGATAAGATGGCTGACTACTATATCTGGAAGAGTAAAAGCGACGTCGACAATTTGAGTCTAGAGGAGAAGAAATCGTGGTACCGGGATTCTACGCGTAATGAATATTACCTGGCTACTCTGGGTGAATCTTTGCCCAACCTTAATCTGCATAATAAAGAAGTCCGCGACGAACTGGGGGATATTCTCAGGTATTGGTTTGCACGTGGCGTGGCGGGATTTCACATAAATGACCTCGAACATATTATGAACTTAAACACGAGTATTGCTGATGCAACGAAATCACAGAGAGAACAAATCCTGGAAGCTATATACGAGTGGAGATCAATTGCCAACCATTTCTCTGATAAACCCGGACGAGAACGTCTTCTTTTCTCCACGGTGACAGTCAGCAACTTAAATGATACCATGACTTATTATGGAGATGAAAATAAGAATGGGCTCAATTTTGTTGCGGCTGCCAATTTAGAAGATATCACTAAACAAAACTCGCCCTCCTCCATTATGGACATAGTCGACACTGTCTTGGATGGAACCGATACAGATTGGAGGGGTTGGCTCCTGGGTGATCAAGACCATAGTCGTCTCATGTCACGAGTGGAAAATCCAGATTTCTTGAAATCTGTAATGACACTTCAAATGCTCCTACCCGGAACAGCTTTCTGTTACTATGGAGACGAAATCGGAATGCAGAATACACCTTTAGTAAACTTAACAGACTCTTTGCAAAAAGCTGATGCAAATAACCCTGTAATTGATCTTTATCGCTACAGAAGCCCAATGTTATGGAATAATGAGAAAAACGCCGGTTTCAGTAAGGCCACACCCTGGCTTCTACCCAAGAGAGGCCTTATTAGTGTAGCCTCCCAGAGGGCGTACAACAACAGAAATCCTTACCCACCGCTAAAAGCATTCAGTGACCTCAATGAACTTAGATCAAACTATTCATTCCAGTGGGGATCTTTTGTGCCGTCGGTGACGAATGACAATATTTTCTCGTTCGTTAGAGAAGCAACCGGCTTTCATGGCTATTTGGTGGCCATTAATTTTGATAACAAACAACACACTGCCAGATTCAACAACCACCCGTCTGGTAGTGTGCCCGACAAAGTCGAAGTTGTCTTCCACAGCATGCGACATGGTCACGAGTTCAAACCAGGCGCGGTGCTCAATTTAGTCAAGGCACCAATCACTCTACAAAGTTTTGAAGCTGCAGTCTTCAAATTCTTGTAACACAAAAAAAGAAAAAAAAAAAAAAATTGTGTTAAAATTCCTCGAAATGTTAAAAAAAAAAAATCGTTGATTCAACCTCCGTTAGAGTAAATTACCTGTCGATATTTAAGTAGCTTATGATGCGTTTTTTGAATTTTGATTGAGTCAAACTTGATTTAATTTGCATCTTTAAGAAATACTTTGTATTCAATTTTATTTTTAAATAAGGTTTCAAATTTCGTTTTCATTTAATTTCTCGTGAGGGGAAACTGTTCAGTTATCTTTAAAGTTTACCCGCTAAAAAAGGAAATCGAAACCATTGCCATTTAACAAAACAGTAACTCTTGCATTAAATGACTTTATTCAAAATCCATTAAACGCATCGTCTTTTCACTGTGCAATTTTTATCAATTGCTCTAAACTAGCATCGCATTTAAAAGCAATTTTTTATCAAAGGAATTTAATGACATTTATTGTCGATATGTCATTTTTGAAAAATTAAATTAAGATGGAATTTTTAAAAAAGCTCGACTAAAGGGAGACAACCTACAAGCAAAGTGTTTTTCCTCAGAATTATCTCCCTTGATAAAAATTGTACACGTGAAAAGCTTTCAGATTGTGAACGAGGTGTTAAAATAAAAACGTTGAAGTCTGCAGAATTTGTTTATTTTAGTCTATTTATATTGTCTGATGAGCATCATTTTATGGCAATCCTACAGTTTAGTGGCATCAAATTAGAACAATTTTAGTGATGATAACGTCTATATACGTTTATTCTTCGTTTGAGACAAACGATTATCGCCAACGTTTGCATGTACTTACGAAAAAATCCCCACCCAAAATGGTTATTAAAATCAGATAATTAAAAGAATAAGAAAAATCGATATCAGCACAATTTCAATTTTTGCAAATAACAGCTACGGCCATTGATTCAAAAAATTCAGGGATCGATATTTCTAACTAATCGATTAAAAAAATCTATTTTTCGATTATAACAAATGTGACATTTTTTGTAGATTAGCATTTGTTTCTAAACTAATCTACAAAAATTATTTTTAAAAAGATCATTTATTTATTTTTACGACGAGACCAATCTATTGCAGAAGTGCGCCGAAATGAAAGATTAGGAGCCAGAAACCAAATTCATGGTGTGTGTTACTGTTAGTGTTATTCATCCCAAAAATAACATTAAAAATTTGCGGAAATCTACTGCAATCTTAGTTGGGTCCCGGGTACAGCACGGCCGCCCTTTCCGGACTAGATTACCGCGTGCTCACCTCGATTTCTTCTAAGCGGTGGGTTTCCCCAATTTTAATGCTATTTTTGGAATAATCAGGCTTTTTTTTTTTTTCTTTTAAATTGGTTTCTCGGTCCTAATCTGCAATTTTACCAAAACTTAAAATTGTAGACCTTACGACAGACAGAATTTGATAAAATTATCAGTTTATTTTTAACTCTTTAAACTAAAGTTTAAGCAGTTATGTATTTGACGTTTATGTAAATCAATTTTAAATACAGGGTGTGGCAGAAATACCTTCAACGTAAATGGTAAGACATTTAGTAGCAATGGTGTCTTCTTCATCTTACCATACTTATGTAGAAGACATTTCTGCCACACCCGATATAATTTTACTGAACTGTAGGATTGTTTAAAATTTTCACTTTTTTTTTTTTTTTTTTTTTTTTAACTCTACGGCTTTTCACAAACTTGTATGGCTGAATGTTGTTTTACTTTGTCTTTTTTTTTTTTTTTTTCGGCATTAGATTTTGAAAGTAAAGTTCATTTTAATTTTATTTATTTATTTATTTTTTTTACTACACACTAATTTTATTTATCTCCATTAAATTTCTTGAATGAAGCTCATATTCTGAGACGTGTTTTGGATAAACATGTATTATAATTCATTTTGTTTGACTATATTTTTCCCCCAAAAGTAATTTCCCATTTGTAATCACGAAATAAAAATCATTTATTTGAAATTCCTACAGCTGAAAAATATAAGAAGCTTAAAATTTTGTGATAACAGCAAAAAATATAAAGAAACTAGTCAAAAACTAAATCTTGTATAAACTTGTTAATAAGTTTTATGGAAGTTCATAAGGGTAACTTTACAAGTGCAGTAAATATAAACTACTTACAAGTAATAAAAATAATTCTTGACCAATCAGAAAGATTTCATAAATTATATTTTTGATGTTAAGCCAACTGCTTTTCAGTGACCCCACCCTCATAATTACAAACTTGTTAAAAGAAAAAAAAAAAAAAAATCTTAGGACACAATTATTTTAGGAGCCCTTTCAGTTTTTTGTCTTTTCTAAATGGTTGCATTTATACACATAAGGGCTGATTGCATTATTTTGGAATTTCTAAAAGGATCTGAAATTTGAGAAAGTTCTGGAAAATTAAAATTTAAGTGAGTGGTATTTAATTTGTGATATGCAAAAATTAAAAGAACAAGCATAAAACAATGTGGAAGAGCTGGATAAAATTCCTTTGGTTTTCAAAAATTGATTAGAATAAGATTCTGGTGACAATTTTATAGTTAAATACTAGTGTATATTAAAAAGTTTATTTTGTATGTATATTCCATTTCAAATCAACCAACAGCCACAAGTGACACTAAGAAAAATCCGGGAAAATTCACGTTTCTTGATAAGATTCCAAATATTAAATCTGTATATTTAGTTTTATAATCAAGATCTTGAAATTTCATTGATTTTTTTTTACAACGATCTGACATTGTTTCAAGGACATTGTATGTACAGTTTTGCAACTTAGTGACATTAGTTAATTACTTTAGATTACGGAAAAAAAAAAAAACAGCTTAGGTGTCTTTTATAAGGACTTGAAAATGTCCAAAATACAAAAGGCACTATCCTTTTTGAGAGCTTCTCATTTACAAAAGTAGATCAGAATTAATTTTTCTATCATTTTATGAATTAATAGTTTATTTCTCTGCAGTAAATAATCCATTCCTGCTACAGAAATATCAGTATTACCGTTTGAAAATTGCTTGATATATATATATATATATATATTTTTTTTTAACATCTTTAAAATTATCAGCAGATGATTTAGGCTGGAAAAATTTACCATGTATTCTTATGTGTCTGAAGACCAGGTGACCAGTTTCGTTTTGTGGACAAACTTGTCTTTGGGGTAAAACATTTTTCTAGAACAACTGAAATTATGTTTTTGTTGATTTTGGTACCTTATTTATGAGTAGCCTTTAAGGCAGTGTTTCACAACCATTTTAAGCAATGGCACCTAGGAGCAAATGAAAATATCACGATACACTTAGCAAAATTTGTAAAGGGTATACAATTTAAATGTTATGAAAAAACCACATTAAAAAAATATACATGTACAAATATGAACTTATTTCAATGTTTCTATTCAACTATTTGTGCAGCTTATTTAGTGTGAAACCTGTGCCCCCCCGTTTTTGTGAACACCAGTATGACATGGTACAGTGGTTGAAAAATCACTGCTCTAAGATTTGACCCTCCTCTCTATTCTTAAGAATCCTGAATAAAATGAACAAACCCTTATTGGTTAAGCCACAAACCAGCAGATGAAATTGAATTACAATTGTATAGATGTATTCTTCCTAATCTGAAACTAGTCTTCATAATCTAATCGATAAGATTTAGGTCAAACAAGCAATGATTAACAAAATTCTCATTAGGTGTTCCATTATTGTAACCTTGTATTGTGTCAAACTAAGCTTTAGGTAAAGAATCAACATGAACCAATTCTGGTATACTATTGCAAGTACCCATGTGTACCTACTGGCCCTAGCTTTTTAGTGTAATGGAAAGATGCCTGACAGACTGGACTCCATGAACCATATGATCTCTGACCATAAAGAAGATTCAGATTTGGCAAAAATACCAGGTAGGTTTGAAAAGTAGACCATTTTTCATTCATATCACACATTTCATTGCCATTTTAACAGTGGCTCTTGAGAACCTTGAATTGGGAAAATTCTAGTAGAATGTAAAAAAAAATTGAGGTGTATTACTTAAAGCAAGCAGTCATAAATAAAGTGCTCAATATTAAGAAACAGCAAATAAAAAAAAACAACAAATTTACATGGTTAGATAAATTGAATTTAATATATTGCTAAGAGATGTTACATATTTTTCTCAAAAAAAAAAAAAAATTCTGAGGTCAACTTATTTTAAATTTATTCATTTTTAAAAGACATTATTACATGACTATATAAAATAAAGTACAAATCTCCAGGTACACCTGCGGCCTCCTGGCAAAAAAAATCCACTTGGTTTGGAAAAGTCAGTTAATTCAACCCTTTACAGCAGGGGTCGGGCCGGATGAAGGTCATTAAAGAAAATTACATATGCTGACAACCTAAATATTTAAAACCATAATGAAAATAAAGATTGAGAAATCAGAAAAAACAAAAGAAAATCTAAAATTAAAAAACACCTAACAAAAATTACTTTTCCTCAAAGAACTTCAAAGTGAAAAAAATTAACCAAAGTGAAATGGATGAAATTATGATGTATAGGTTTGAAACTTATTGAAAATTGTTCCACAAACGAACCACACACACACTCACACATCAAACAAAAATGAAGCACATATACCCATACATACAAGTACAAATAGTTGCAAACATATACATTTACGTACGTACACATGCGGCATCATCTACACATTCATGAGGCATGCATGTATAATGCGCGTATGTTTAACTGTCTTTAGATTTCTGCTACCTCGCATGTCAGTCCCTCCCTGGCCTCTTTCACTTTATCGTTCCTTTCGCTTATGTTATCTTTTAATGTAGCCAAGGGTCATAACAAATATGTATCCATTATTTGACATTTAAACGTAGGCAACGCAACTTGGTAAAATAAGTCTCATGAAAGATAACTGGCAGATAGCCTTGTCTCTTGTGTTAAAAATAGAGTCATTGGTAATCAGGCTCACAGGCCGATCAAAATACCTTCGTGGGCCGGATCCAGACCATAGGTTGCCGACCCTTGATTTACA